TGGTTAGGCACTTGTTGGATAGGGGGCACACGTCGCGACAATTGCATTCTTTGACTTCATTATCTGTGAGGATTGTGGTATTTTTAAGTACTGATTTGTTGTGTGCAGAGATTATTGAACCCATATTCGGCATACAACTGTAACTTATCTTGATAGTGTTTCGGTTAAATATTTTCCTTAGTGCATGGTTGGGTGGGAAGCATTCATCCACAATTTCTAAAAATTCATGTCCAATTCTTGTCTTTACGTTATTGCTGTATGGAGGGTTGAACCAGTACAGTACAGTACAGTTTTGTTCCTCCCACTGATGCCAGTCACATCCAAGAGGCAGTCTTCTCAGCATCCAAATATATGCTGGGTCCGACTGTTGAAGGGTTTTCTTGACTGAGTTAGCTTCTTAGCTTGACGAGGATCGCACTGAAGGAGATTGCTTAATTTAATCCATGGGTCACGATAGTAAGGTTTTCGGGCTTGTGCAAAGAGCATTCGCTTTGTTAACGAGTTATTTGGTTGTCGGCAAATATGGGCTATATATTTTAGATATTGAACGTGATGTTCCTTTTTCTTTTCCTTGTGTTGTCTCTTTGTGTGCTTTTAGCTGTGGGTTCATACGTTAATTTGTGCTCGTATCCACTCTCTTTTAGGGCTTCTTGGTAAGGTTCCTTGGTGTCGTTGAATACGGTACAGTTTCGTTAGAGGAAATGCTAGAAAGTCTTCTATTTATGGTTCCGGGATGTTCTTTATAATGGAGGGTGGGTGGTTTATATATATATAATAAACAGATGATGGAAAGGAAATATCAATACTAAGTGAATTTGAATTATTAGGCCTATAGAATGTATTGTTTTTATATCTAATTACTGGTGTAGGCCTATAATTAGTTTGTTAGGGACAATTATGTCAATTGAAAGGGTATTTATTTGATCTTATATTAACTTGTTTACAATTATTTAGTTTCTTTATAAGGAGACAGAGTTGGTGAATATGTATCTGCTGCAATATTTGGTTTTGGTACAGTAAATCTATTTGTTGAACGAACCTACTAACCGTTAAGCTGCAACACAATATACCGGTGTTAATTGCTTCAAACGTTCATCAGCAACACTGACAATGTTTAGTTGATCAACAAAGCGGTATGAAACAACTTTGGCCCTGTATAATTTTGCAGGCACGCCTTTGTATTCTTTCGTTTGGTTGGTTTGTAGTTCAGTAAGATTGCAGAGCCAAACATGCGTATTCCATCAAAAGCCATGTCTGCTGGGAAGTGGTGAGCAACCCCCCCATTGTAACGGATTTGGAACAGTTCATTTGTAATTTAGGGAGTTCCACAACTACAAATTAAACGCCATAACATTTTCATATGGACTTTCAATTTTTAATCTAAACAACATACATAATTATCTAAATACCATTCAGTATCACATTTCTTGAGTAAAAATCTTTGGTAGATACAAAACAGTTTTATTTTTACCTTCAAAAGAAGACATATTCTACCCTGCTTTACAGTCTTCACCACTCACATGTACGTAGTCATGTACACATAAGAAAATGGAATCGACCATCTCAAACCAGTGAACCGCTCGAAAAAATGGGGTGTTTTACAAAAATGTATATACTGCTCGTACTAAAAAATCTATAAGTTTTTACTGCATATAATTTACACCATTTGAATCTCTATCCTTTTCTTTTGCCTATGATCATAATTTTAGTGTTTAAAAATAAGGATAATTTAGTCATTTTATCTGTTTTTCCAGAGTATATTTCAAGCTCTGCATCCAAGTGAGCGTCAGACTGCCATATGCTTGTAATGCTTAAGCATATGGTGAGGAGTTTTGGATGATTTTCATAAATCTTATTGGTCCGATAAAACTACTCAACCGATCAATCTTATATTTAGAATATATTTAGAAGACAAAAAGGGCTTTCGAATGGACTTTTCCCAAAAGAAATCGGCCCACAACTTTCGACTGTAGAGGGATTTATGTTAAAGACACCTGGAATATTTCGGCAGATTTCACTGTTTTTACGCTGAAAAAATACACGAGTGGGTTTGATAAAAATCAAAAGTCCGATAAAGGTGTTAACATTACACTTATAAATTTGTAATTGTTGTAATGATTATTAAATTCCGATCAGTTTTATCTTTTCCCAAAAAAAGTCGATGAAGTATTTACGAAGTTATTACAAAAAGAATTTGAAAAATGACCAAATTTAGTGGTTTTTTAATGACTAGTGAATTAAATGACTGAATCTTCTTAGTTTTCAAGTAGATTTACTGCCATCAACAACAATAATAATAATAATTACTCTATATTTGTCAACATTCAATTTAGAAATTTAGGCTACAATAGTGCAGTGCCCCTCACCTTAACTACAACATTTAACGGATACATGCAGAAACAAACATTTGCCTTAATCTACCTAATTGTCAATGTGAGGGTTATCTGAGGAGACGGGTGACTAACACACACCTCAAAGTAATGCTATACTAACACCTCAAAATTTGGACTTTACTTATTCATTTTAAGAGTAAGTTCAAGATATTTTGCTATTTTAAGATATTGTCATTGATTATTCCATGACAACTGTTTTAATTAGCAAAATTCGGAGCACACTGGAAAAATATTTTCATCAGAGACAAGACAATTTCAAAATATGACTGTAGATAAATGTGTACATTCCCATCAAATAAGTTGCCATAACTACACTTAATTTCTCCACATACAACTAAGTAACGACCAGACAGAGGCTACTGAGTTTGAGGGGAGTTGTGGTTTTCATGGAACTTTCAAATCTTCCTTTATTTACTTTATCAATCTCTACTACATTGCAACTCCATATTTAAATTAAAATAAGAAAAATCCCTTACAATTGCTAATTCATATACCATAGACAACAGAGAACCATTTATAATGAATATTTAAGAAACTCAGAAGACGGAAAAAGTTCTATAGACGTGGTTGGATTATGTATCACATGTCATTGGGCGGTAGCAGTACTAATGTGCGAGCAGTACTGTGTAGTTTGAAAAATATTTCTTAGTACTGTGTTGTTAATTGTCTTGGGCACATCCATCACAAGCTCTGCTTTTCGGAATTGTGCCCCCTTCAATACTTATGTTATTTATTTGTTACATTTCAATGAATATTGTAATTTACGTTTTGAAGGAAATAAATGTTAATTTTGAAAAAAAAAGAAAAAAGTACTGATTATAATCAACATTCTTAACCACATTGCCTCTGCCAAGACTAGTGGGTTTTAATTCTATATCAAAGCAAGGCACATTTCAATATGATAAAATTACAAATATATTATAGTACAGTCTTATCATGTGATATATAACCCAACCCCTCTAATGAAGTTAAGTTCTCTTTTCAGTGTAAATTTAAACACCATTTTATAAGTACAGTATTCAAATGTCTTTAAGTGTCTGTCATCGATTAAGGTAGTGGTGGCGAAAGGTTGACTGGGTGTAAGGGCCTCCCAATGGAGAGATAAAAAAATTAGTTGGGGAGAAAAAAAAAATATAGAAACACAAATTATATGTATACTTAACCGCCTGATTCAAACGGCTGACGAAGATGACGAGATGTGGACCACATTCGAGATATTTTGATCGACGAACGACCAAGTCCATTTTGCTTCTGCTCCCACCCACCGTTGGAGCATTGGACTCCATTTCAAAAATCAACAACTACCTCAATTATGAGTACATCATCCAAATCCACAAAATCTTTTAAAAGACTAAGTGGAAGTAGACGAGTACAACCGGGTGCGACAATCAGGAAATTTGAACCTGCAGGTGATGTTTCACAGGTGAGGCTGCCACTAGGTGTATAACCTCCAATGAAATCCCTCACATGGTCACGATTAAAGAGTGCAAACCGCACTCGGTGAGGAAATGGTTGGGCACTGTCGTATGACCGAAGAAGAAGGGTTGCTGAAAAATACTTATTTTTTCCAATGCCATCACCATTTAGGTGAATTCTGCAACAAACACGATAACAATAGCAACTTGTAAAAAAGTAATTGAGTGATGTCTGTCTGCCACTGATAGCGTCCCTTCTTTTCTGACTAAAGTTTGTAATCTGCAACAATTTTCCAAATATATTTCCAAAATTACTCTCCAAGCTTTGGATATGAAGAAAATGATCTGCTAATGTGACGTCTTGTAAAGCATATGTTTGTTCAACAGATTTCTGGTGTTTTTCTGTCTCCTGTATAGATATTTTCAACTGTTCAACCTCTTGAAAGGTTCTCTCTATCTTTTGACCAGTGTCATCCATTTCGGTATTACGGACATCACGAAAGACCTCTCTTTTTTTTGCCAGCACACCTTGATTTAGCTGCAAGGATTTAATTTTTTGGCTGTTATGGTTTATCATGGATTTCAGCTCAGTAATCTCATTAGTGCTTCCTACTCCAGTATCTGGTTTACTAACACCTCCCTTTAAAATGCTGCCTTGGTTTGTATTGATTATTTTCCTTCTTGCACCATGTACAGCCCCACCAGCACTGATGTCAATTGATTTGAAAGCATCTACTTCTACATCATCTTTTGATTTTGGGAATTCTAGTTTACCTTCCTTCCTTTTCAACTCCTGTAAAACCTTCTGAACTATTTCATCAGAATCAACACTATTACCCTTTCCACTATCTGTCATATCCATAGACTGGTAATCTTTCAATTTTTCATGAGCAGCTTCTAATTGTTTTTTGACAATGATGTAATCTCCCATCATCAAATTTAGGTGTTCTTGTAGATTGTTCTTCAAGTGCCCTGGCATCTGCTCCTGTGGTGCCTATAAAGAGGGTGATACCTCATTTCACCAATTCATGTACACTCTGCTATGGTGTTACTTTAACAAGATTACACGTTGAAATTTATTTCACTTTTTTATTACTGTACCATGAATAACACCTGCATATCAAATACTTACCATGAACTCACACCCAACTACTCGAAACTTGCAACATCTTTTACGTCGAGGACAGTATTCATTCTCTGGATCTTGATGTAAATTCATCTTTGGATGTAAAAAAATGTGAGATTATATTATAAACTATAAAACAAAATCATAGTATAAATAGACTTACATAATTTAGATGCGTGGAAATCAGGCTACATTCAAATAATAACTGGCACTAAGAAAAATATGTTCCATTGAAACAATAGAGAATATACAAACCTCTTCTTTTGGTAATTTCGACTTGTTGCAAATTCCACAAAAAATCTCTAGCTTAGGGCATACTTCACTGTATTGCTACAAAATAAAACCTATGCTTTATAAAAGTTTATTTTTACTATTAATTTGTTGTAGCTTTTTTTTTCTTAGAAAAATAATTTAATAGAAATTGACAAATGGTAAATGCCTTATGCATTCAATAAAAAAAAAAAAAAAAAAAAAAAAAAAAAAAAAACACCAAAACAAAAAAAGAACAAAAAACTACATGCTTAGAATGTGACAAGTTTTAATACCGTACATAAGCTGAAAACAAATCTTCATGTTCTTGTGAACCAGTTCAGCATTGCACCATTGACATGTTATTGTACGCTCTGTACAATCACGTAAACAGTGATTCTGCAATTTCGCACGTTTCATCTGTCTGCCACAGGCTGTGTATGGTACTTCATCACGAAGGCATGTGCCTTGATGGTTCTTGAAATGAAGACAGATGATTATTTAGACTGCTTATATATATTCTACAAAGTTCGATACAATAATTAAAAAAATTATCTGAAGTTGTAACACCTCCTGTTTCCAAAATATGATTTTTTTTTCCACTAATGGTATATTATTTATCGATGACTTAAAGCGTACTAGCTCATCCTTTTAGTAAGAATGTATATTTTAATTGCATAGAAATGTCTCACTGTAATAATATATTCATTAAGGTTTCCCTCGAACGCGCAGCTTGAATTTGGGAACTTCACTTTCAGTAATCGGATCTCTTTCCGTCCGGCAAAATCTGGATAAACCTATAAAGAAAGGAAAAATTTACCTGTAACTGGAAAAATTTACCTGTAACATTTTAAGATTCAAGATTTCACTTATTAATGTCATATACAAATACAAGCAGTACAGACATGAAATTTGTTTTCCAGAGCGAATGATACACAAAATAAGAGAAATATAAAACTATATACAGTGCAAAAAATACTTAAATTACAGTTAAATTAAATATATATACAGTAACAGTGACAGAAGATCTAAATGAGCTGTACGCTGTAGAGGTAAATTAGTTCAGATGATAATGGTAAAATGAGATGTGGTTATCTGGTGAATACGCTGGTAGGCCTATTTGTGACATGCATATGGCAAAAATGAGTTTTCTATATGTTTGTTTTCACACTAAGTTGGCAAATTCTGCCTGATCTATAAACATTTAATATACTCATTTAGTGGATGAGTGCCGTCAGTAATAATTGATTCCATTTTTTAAGTACAGTACATACCTCACAAATATCATTAATGATCTTTGCCAATGACTTTCCTTACTGCTTTAGTATTGTTATTTGATCAGTAATTAAAAAAAAAATTGCAGTACTTACTTTCCTTATAGGAGCTTCCTGGCTATCACAAGGACATTGAGGACAAAATTGAGGCTGGGGATCACTGTTGAGTTAAAAATCAAATTTCATAAATCACATCCCTAAATCATTATGAAAAAAAAGAAACCCTAATAGGAAAGTTCACTTAGTTTTCAATTCAATCACTTTTTATTTATTTACACATACCTGGTGTATAGAAGGGAACAGTGAAATTACATGGAATGATCTCGAACTTCTAAGGCGTGCTTATCCTATCTTAGGTAGCTATTGTTCGCTATTGTTCCTGTCTAATTGCCCCTGCTGTGTCCTAGTTCTTTGTGCCTAAACGCGTGGTACCGACAGTCAAGCGAAAATGATGAAAATATCACCACCAACGTCAGAAAATTTCACTGTTCCCTGGTAGAAACTAAGACCTCGAAAACTAAGTTAAGGCCCAACACCCTTTAAACCTCATACCCTCGAAACCTTAGATCCCACATGGTAAAACCAAGACTCTCAACTACAGTGGCGTATCTACGGCCTCCCCCAAATTACTCGCCCTCTCCCAGTCACGCCCCCTAATTACTCGCCCTCTCCCAGTCATGCCCCCTATTAGAAATACGGTCAAGTAGTTAAAAATCACCTTATTTTGCAAATTAGCGCCCCTCAACTGATCGTCGAGCCGCCCCATCCCCGCCCCCCCCCCCCCACCCAATTTCAAGACTTCTAGATACGCCACTGCTCAACTATATAACTCAAAAACTAGATAAACAGATAACAAAACCTTTATTGGTATTCCTATGTTAAGAATTCCTATGTTTAATTCCTAAATAGACAAAAAGTAGTTAGCTGCTGTAATAGTCACAGAGCCAATGCTATTCTAACATACTTCATATAGGCCTATACTTATTTTGTCAATCAATCCAAAGCACGCAATACAGCAAATAGGCAATATTAATGGTCTTCTTTACCATAATAATTGGCTATCCGATAATTGGAGGGAATAATTTCAAATTCATACACTGTATGTTCAAATTTAATGGAAGATCATAAAACAAACTTACAAATTTAAAATATGAGGTTTCAATATTTGAAAGAAAACATAAATACAGTAACATCATAGTCTCTATATTTACAAAGATAAGAACATAAATAAAAATTAGTTTACCTTTGCAATTTTTTGGCACAGGAACTGCAAAAGCGATGCCCACATTCATGTTGGACTACATCTTTCAGAATTAGATTACACACACCACATATAATGCACGCAGTTAAATCAGACTTGTTTAGAAGTTCAAGTGAACAATGAAATGAACAATAATAATCATTTTTTTCATTATTGCATCTCGTTTTTGTGAAAATAACCCACCTTAAAGGACTATCGGTCGTTTTCTTCTTTGCCACAGTGGACGAAAAAAGTCAGTTATTCTACGTTT